GCTAGTTTGGGAATAATTATTGAATTTTGTAGTATTAAAATAGATAATAAATTGGTTTTAAAATCTTAAAAAATAAAGGAAAAATACCAAAACTTTGTGGCATGCTTATATATATCTGTACATGCTATTTTGAAAGTATTTTGCATATATAAAAATATAGGAAAAAATTGGGTATCAACAGCTGCCCCTCTTTACACGGGAAGGATGAAAGAGTTGTCGGGTAGATGACCAATTTTGACCGCGAGAAATGACTTGCGAAGGTTTTGACCGCGCTCTGGTTTCTGAGCTGCCTACATATCCCTGGTTTTACAAGAATTAGGTCATATGTAGTTCAGGATGCATCGATGGAGTATGCCGATGGAGGTTTTTGAAGAGACGGGCGCAATATTTAGGTTGGGAAGGGTGATCAGGTACTGATGGGCTGCGAGAACCGGATCGAGATCGCTCCTGCTGTAATGGCCGTGGCCATCTGACGTACCTGCAATTAAGTAATACAAGCATATCGTGCGGAATTTAAACGTGATGCAAGTTCCCATTGGACATGAATGTTGTCTTTGGACGGTTAAGATGACGTCCTCAGACCATGATGTCCTGGGCCATGAAGCGCATAATAAAGGATTCGCAGGCTATGAAATGATGTTTTTGGGCTATGATAATGGTGCCTCCGAACCATGATGCCTTTGAATAATGATGTGCAGAATATAAAGCGGGGTCCTCGGGCCATGGCATGGGGTTCTCGGGCTATGAAGATGGTGCCTCCGAACAATGACGCCCTTGGACAGTTTGGCAGTATTTCAGCCCATGAAATGCAAGATTTGGCGGTATTTCAACCCATGAAATGCAAGATTTGGCGGTATTTCAGCCCATGAAATGCAAGATTTGGCGGTATTTCAGCCGATGTGAAGAATAAATGTAAATGGCGATATTTCAACCGACAGAAATTTAAATAATGCTGGCGATGTTTCAGCCGATGTAGAAAAATGTAAATGGCGATATTTCAGCCGACAGGAATTTAAATAAAGTTGGCGGTGTTTTAGCCGATGTAGAAAAATGTAAATGGCGATATTTCAGCCGACAGGAATTTAAATAAAGTTAGCGGTGTTTCAGCCGATGTAGATGGAGGTAGAGCTTAACCTCGGAAGGCAGAATGGTAGCCTTATGCAATGCAGANAAAATAGTAAAAGATATGACTTGAAAATAAATTAAAGGTACTGGACCAATTAATAACATATAAATATTAATGTAAAAATACTAAAAGTGATTTTATAATTATAGAATGTTGTTAATCGTAAAATAGGCTATAATTACAATTATATGCAATTTGCTTAAAAAATACCAAATAAATGTATAAAAATATACAAAAACTACCCCAATTATATCTTAGGGTAAATATGAGAATGAAATAAATTATTCACTAAAAATGCTAGTTTGGGAAAAATTATTGAATTTTGTAGTATTAAAATAGATAATAAATTGGTTTTAAAATCTTAAAAAATAAAGGAAAAATACCAAAACTTTGTGGCATGCTTATATATGTCTGTGCATGCTATTTTGAAAGTATTTTGCATATATAAAAATATAGGAAAAAATTGGGTATCAACACTTGCTCCCAAATCATACAAGGCCTTTGCAAAATCCGCACTCCCAATGGTACATGGAATGGTGAATGCTCCGGGATCTTCAAGCTTTGGAGCCATCGAGTGCACAATTTCACTCACTTGATGAGTCATTTTGATGGTCTCAGAATCCATACATCTCTTTTTAGTCACCAAGTCTTTCATAAACTTGGCATATCCCGGCATTTGCTCAAGAGCTTCCACCAAAGGAGCATTGATCGACAAGCTTTTCATCATCTCAATAAATTTCTTGAATTGGTTTTCATTTTTTTGCTTTGCAAGTCCTTGAGGGTAAGTTGGAGGAGTCCTTGGCAAGGGAGCCTTAGCCTTGGGCACTACCGTTTCGGTATGTCTATCATGTGTTCCCTAGACGGGTTCACATCATTTTGAGTCTCCACCTCATTATCATGAATATCAATTCTCACTTCAGCATTCAAATTCTCTTCACTCACTTGCTCATTAACTATTGGAACATCATTATCTTGCACTTCAACCTCATCACTCACAACTTCCTTTTGCTTGGAGGTACTTGCTTCACCACCTCTACCGCTCCTTGTGGTCACTGCCATTGCATGGACGGTGTTGTTCCCACCCTTCGGGTTTACTACTGTATCACTATGTAGTTCCCTATTAGGGCGAGTGTTCAAAGATTGCAAAATCTGGCCAAATTGGACCTCCAAATTCCGGATAGAAGTATTATGAGACGCCAAATGGGCATCGGAGTCGGCGTTTTTCTTCATCATTTGCTCAAACATCAACTCAATCCTCCCCATCTCATTATTTGACGAGCTAAAACCTTGGGACAAAAATGGAGGCGGGTTGTTTGGTTGTTGATACATCGGAGGCCTTTGAAAACCCGGCTCCCAATTCCCTTGGTTACCATTATTCCAACCCTCTTGGTTGTTTTTCCTCCCCAATTTCTATTGTTGCCACCCAGTTGCCCTGGTTGTTCTGGTTGCCCCAATTCTTATTGTTGTTCCCCCAGTTGCCATTTCCTTGTTGGTATTTATTCCCCCAATTTCCTTGGGATCTCCACTGTTGTTGTTGATTCGGAGCATTGCTCCGTTGTCCTTGGTAGTTGTTCACATACTGAACTTCTTCACTTTGATCGCCATACCCATCATCTTGGTTAAAACCACTACTGCCTTGCTCATATTGATTGGATTTCCTTGACTTTGTTAACCTCTTTGTCGCCTTTTGTTGACCAACATGTTTACCCCTTCCATGGCATTCACTTGCCTTGGCGCTTGAACTTGCTACAATTGAGCTTTTGCCAATTGGTTCATTGCTGTAGTCAACTCTGCTATTGCTTGGCCGTGGTCATGAAGCTCTTTGTGCAGGTGAATGACAGTGGGATCACCTTATGGCACATTAGCTCGACTTTGCCACGCCGAGGAAGTATCTGCCATCTCATCTAATATCTCACACGCCTCAGCATAAGGTGTGTTCATAAAGTTTCCCCATGCTAGGTGGTTCACTACACACTGATTGGTCATGTTGATGCCACGGTAGAATGTTAGCTGGATCATTGCTTCGGTCATGTCGTTGTTCGGACATTCTTTCACCATCGTCCGATACCTTTCCCAAATCTCATGAAGTGGTTCATTAGGTTCCTGTTTGAAGGCCAGGATCTCATCTCTCAATGTCACCATATGCCCCGACGAGAAAAATTTGCTATAAACTTGTCGGCCAACTCATCCCAAGTAGTGATGGAATTGTTGGGAAGTATTTCGAGCCAGTCCAAAGCTTTCCCTCTAAGTAAAAAAAGGAACAATCTCAGTCTCAATGCATCCTCCGCCACATTTGTCTGGTTGCTTCCCCAGCAGGTATCCACAAACCCCTTTAGATGTTTATATGCATTCTGATGGGGAGCGTATGTGAAGTACCCTCTTTGCTCCAATAAAGTCAACATAACATTTGTAATCTGGAAATTGCCCGCCCGGATCCGGGGTGGGACAATTGCACTTGCGTAGCCTTCATTTGGAAGCACCCGAAGAGCAACTCGTGGAGGAGCTGGGGGAGGTTCTAGAATGTTGTCATTGGCCTGCGGCCTCTTCTTTGAGCTTGAGTTACTAGATGCACCTCATCTTCACCATTATCATCTACCTCCTCCCCCGGAAGAATATTTCCAATAGGATCATTATTTTCCATGTTGTACCTGAATCAATTGACTCACACAAGTTAGTAAAACAAAAGGAAAGAAAAACAAGACACAAAACTAGTCAGATAGATAGCCAAAACCGTTTAGCTCCCCGGCAGCAGTGCCAAAAAGTGATCGGCTCCAACCCTATACCACTATAAAATGGCAAAGAGTGGTCGGTGCAGCTTTTACCCGAAAGGTCGGGATCGATATCCACAAGGAGCTAATATTGGTTGGGAGTTGAGTTTCTATCCAATCTAGCTATGCGTGTTGCTCTTAATTGCACTTCTAACCATGTTTGAATTTGTTACTATTCTACTTTTAATGCTATTGATTGCTGAAAATAAACTAAGTACAATGTTTTTGTAAGAGTTTTCTCAAGTATTAAAAAGCACTTGGGAAGTGACTTACACCTAGGCGAGTATCTAATGGGATCTAAAATTTAGGACAAGCTTGTTATATTTGGGGTCGTGATATAACCATTACACATCATTACTCAATATATGCCTCTCGGTAGTTCGAGTGACTTTGCCCTAATTGGCTTTCTCGAGCCCAATTGGGTGTTCAAACAATACAAGTAAATTGGCTCAAGTTGGGTATTACTATCTCTAGGTTTAACCCTTTAATTGAGGCTATCAATCTCTTGAATGCACTCCAATTCCTTGTTAGCCTGATTTTCCTAGACTTAGTCCCTCTTTCTCAAGAAGAGTCTAAGTCATAAAGGCACGAATCAGTGTTTGCAACCACCAATTCTACAATTAAAGCATGAAACAAGCTAAATATCACTAACCCATAAACAATTAAGCTCTAAAATTGAAGACCCAATAAATACCCACACTAGCTAATGGGTTTAGCTACTCATAATCAAGGTTGAAATCAAAGATGGAGATGAAATATAAGCCATAAAAGTTGATTACAAGAATAAAATCTAAGAATAATAGCTAAAGATGCTCTAAAATTACTCTAAGTAGCAAAATACGGTTGTTCACGAGCTCCTCAAAACAAAAGATGACCTAAAATGTGAAAAAGAACTATTTATACACAGCTGAAATTTCTGGAAAAAAATACCCTACGGAGGTTCCGCTGTCAGCGCAATACTGAGCACTTCAGCGCATGAACTTTCGCGGCCTCGCAAAAGAAAGCGCGGACCGCGTTTCTTCCATTTTGGACTGGGACTGGGCTTGATTTTGCTGGGAGCATAAAAGAGACCGCCTCAGCGTTGTCTTCAACTGCGACCACATAATATGTTCGCGGACCGCACTCTTCATTTGAGCTCAAAGTTCCAGGCCTCTGAATCTTTATTTCGCCCTCAACGGAATTTGCACCACGGGCGCGTCAGGTATTCCGTGGCTGCACTATTTCATCGCGGTCAGCGGTCGCTGTCTGCATCCAAAACACCTTCTCTGAACCTCAATTCCGTTGTCAGCGTAATTGTGGCCGCCCCAGCGGTGGACCTTCCGCGGCCGCTCTTTTCCTTTGCTGTCAGCACTTTTATCTCAGCTTTGAACTTGTGCAGGTTTAACTCCTTTATGAGCTGGTTATGGCTTTCTTTCTTCATTTTGACCAAACCCTGCAAACAAGCACAATAAGTTAGTTTTCGGGAATACTTCTACACAATTTTGATCCAAAACCTAAGCAAAAGAGAGCATAAGATAGGCTAGAATCCGTAGTTATCATATACACAAAAGAAAAACCAGCTTTAAAGGAAGTGATCCTTTGATTCTCATTGGGTACCAGAATCGGGAAGTCAAATTTCCAATAGCAATCTCTACGCACAACAGAAACTAAACCCTCAGTGATCTGGGAAGGGTAAACATCAGCGCGATCGTGAGAAGTCATGGAAGTAACCTGGTTTTTAATTAATTCTCTATCTGTGACAAAGGAAGGTTCAGCAGGAATAATCTCGTCGACAGTAGGTTTACGAAGCGGTTCACTTGAATCCCTATTTCTAGCAGAAGATCTATGTGAAGAAGAACCCCTAGTTCTAAAAGATGATGGGGGAGTAGAACTGGGTTAAGAAGAAGAACCACGTACAGAAACTGACCCTAAACTACGCAACCTACCACCTCTCCTACTTCTGGTAGGAGCAGAAGAAAGGGGAAGTTCGTCTACTATGACAAATTTTCGAGGATCAAGATTTGAAAGACATAGCTGTATAAGGAAGTAGTACGTATTGATTGTGAATAAAGAACACCGAAAAAAGTTTTTCGTGAAAGCAAAGGCAAAGGATGTATTTATATGCAGAAGCAACCGTCATGTAAAAAAGGTAATGATGGAAACGTCATTATGAAAACTGTCACTTCGTGACTGATGCAGCCGCAAAAAAGCCCTAAAACCCGCTGAAGAGTTGCAGAGCCAATCGATGACTGCCACGTGTCACATGCATTAAATGGAAGTGACATACGACGCATTAGTTCAGAAGAAGATACAATGGTACGAGAGAAAATATTCCCGCCATAAATGTGATCCACTTCCCAAATATTCAATTGCTGAATAATTGGTAAGTGGGGGGACTATCTGTATTGGAGAAAATGCATATTACAAGTGGAATTAGTTATGTGGCTGACATGGCAAGACACGTGGATTACTAGAAAAGCAACAGCTGGAGAAGAGAATTAAAAAAAACGTGAGTCTTAATAGATACGAGCAAAACACCCACGAGATGAGAAGAAACGGTTGCTCGAGTCTCTTTAGCGATTTGAAGAGGCACCGATGAAATGAACCAAGACAGTAAAAAGGCCAGATTCATTGGTCTTCAATTAATGAGCATGGATGATTACAAACGTTATAGAATTTTGACGAAACAGTTACGATTACCAATTATAACGTTTCATTAATGCTCATAATGACTCGGTCATAAAAGGGAAAAGACGTTGTACTTGGAGATCACTACATAAGGGAAAGAAATGTCATCTGTGTGGACACGTTCTGATTATTATTGGAATATAATTACTTTCTTTTGCTTTCTATTGATTACTTTGCTATTTTATATTCTAATTTCTTTTCTTATTACGAAAATATTGATTTTCTTGATTATTAGTAGCCCGAGTACTTCTAAAAATAGGCTTTGACCGAAATTTCTATGGTTAAACATTAGGGACTAAGGTATAGACTATAGTGATTGACATTCTTTTTGTGGAAGAAAAGTAAATTGTAACATTCTAATGGGCCTTGTGGGAAATAATATAGAGTGGTAGTTGTTTTTTCTTATATGCAATTGTATCGGTTTCTCCATATTTACTGAGAAACAAAATGAGAGAATCCTATTCTAAGTTCTAACACAGTTTTTAAATTTTAAATAGAAAATTGACTCAATTTCGAAAGTTAAAATCTATATTTGGCAGAACCTGTTTTTTTTTTCTTTAAAAAGAAAGTAAATTGGACCTTTTACCTCGCTATAACTTATAATTAAGTATTACTTAAAGGAGAGTGCTATTCGGCCAAACTCAGCGTGGCCCAAAAATGACCACACCCGTGAAATACCAGTAAAGCCCTTGTTTTTTCGTTTGGCTTAATGGCCCTTTTTTCCCTCCAAAATATTTCCCTCAAAAATTAGTTAATAACTTTTGATTATTCCAAAATATTGATCCTATAAATCATCATTCTCTCAGCATGGGAAGATAAAAAGCCTTCGTATATACGGATGACAGCCTTCGTATATACGCTCAAGACATTTTTTTTAAATACAATTACGTTTTATTTAAAATATAATTACGTATTTTTGTTAAATACAATTACGTATTTTTTTTTAAATGCAATTTATACGAATGGGAAGATCAAAGGTCTATTATGTATATATCATACTATATACTTATGTTAAGATAGCTTTCATTAAACACATAATTCACCACACTTCCCTTAACCTAAACATGAATACTAACCGAGAAACTAGTTTGAACCCATTAAACCCGAATAACAGTCTAAAAACTAGGTCGTATCAACTAAGGAATGCATTACACATATCATTAGGGTTGAATTCGGACGACAGTTTGATGAATGAAAATGAATCGATCGACATTGATTCAGACGGCAACTTCAATGATGGAGAAAATCCTGTTGTGATGTTGCTGCTGCTGCTGATGATGATGATGATTACGACGGTAATTATTTAGAGGAAGAGGGAGAAGTTGGAGAGGACAGGGAAATGCCTAATGAGTTCAATGAAGAAGATCTTATAATTGGTCCAATTACTGGGATGTGGTTCAGTAGTAAGGATGTTCTGTTTGATTTTTACAAAGAACATGCAAGATTATCGGGTTTTTGCATTGTCAAAAGAACATCCAACATAAAAGGTGGTGATATTGTTAGGTATGTGCAATATGGTTGTGATAGGTCTAGGAAACCAAGGAATAAGCATTTTACCAAGAGGAGGAACTGCCGTGCTAGAATAAATAGAATTTTGGAGGAGAATGGTTCATGGTGTGTTTCAAAGGTGGTAAAAAAACATAATCATCAATTAAAACTAGCACTATCGCGATTGATGGCTAGACACAGATCGCTTAGCAAGTCTCTTAAGAGAACTCTTGCAGCCAAAGATATTGCTGGCTTAAGACCCTCAAAAAATATAAGAGTCGCTGAAGTACTTGCTGGTGGCCCCGAAAATCTGGGTTGTACACCAAAGGACTGTAGAAATTATATCTTGAAGAGTAGAAAGCTTCAGTTGCAAGAAGGGGATGCACAATCATTACTCAAGTTCTTCAGTGACATGCAGCAAAAAGATAGGGAATTTTACTACTCCGTAGATGTGGATAGTTTTGGTCGACTTCGTAATGTCGTATGGGTTCATTCACACTCTAAGGTTGCATATGAGGAGTTCCATGATGTAATATGCCTTGATACCACATACCTTGTGAATCGATACAATATGCCATTTCCTTCATTTGTTGGTGTCAATCAGCATAGGCAGTCCATACTTTTGGGATGTGCTCTTATGTCTAGTGAGGATATAACAAGTTACAAAATGGTGCTATCTACATGGCTTGGGGCTCTAAACAATGTTCATCCATTAGCTATCATGACTGACCAATGTGATAGTACTAAGGCTGCCATCAGTGCTATGATGCCAAATACAATACATAGATATTGTATATGGCACATATTCGCAAAGTTGCCTACGAAGTTAAGCGGAGTTCTTGACGGTAAGATTGCAAAGGCAGAATTTAAGGCTTTAGTCCTTGATAGCATTAACGTTGCTGAGTTTGAGAGACGATGGACTGATTTTATTGAAAAATATAATTTAGAGGAAAGGGATTGGTTTTATAAGCTTTATTTGGAGAAGGAGAAATGGGTTCCGGTATACCTAAATGACCACTTTTGGGCTGGGATGTTGTCCACACAAAGAATTGAAGGAATGCATGCTTTCTTTGACGGATTCATCACCCGGCAAAGCACTTTGAAGCTATTTGTTCAGAAATATGAGTTAGCCATAAGAGCTAAGTTCGAGAAAGAATTGGAAGCTGAATATAGTTCAAGGTGCTTTGAACCAAAATGTTTATCTGAATTTGCATGGGAGGAAAAATTTCAAACATGTTATACTCGTGAAGTGTTTGAATTTTTTCAAGTACAGTTAAGGAAACTGTACCACTGTGAAATCAGCTCCCCTGAAGACCATCAAGCAACAGCTGGGGTGGAGAATTACATTATCTCAGATTATTCGTTCAGGAGTTTTAACACTAGAGATCCATTTGTATTCGCGGTTGAATATACACCTATTGGCGAATATCTAAGTTGCAGCTGCAAGTGGTTTGAAACAAGAGGTATTCTATGCTACCATATACTTAAGGTGTTGTCTCATAAGAGGATTAATAACGTTAATGAGAGGTATATATTGAGAAGGTGGAGAAAAGATGTTGTTCATCCGCACTTGAAATGTTTCTTTCTTGGAGGTTACCCACGTATGACTTCTGAATACATGATGTATAGGAAACTATTAAAGCATTTTGAACGGGTTTGTGATATAGCATTGGACACTGAAGTGATGAGGCGATATATTAAGTATCATTTGAACAGATTGGAGCATGACCTTTTGAATTGGGATGATGATCAAATGATAATTCCAGATTGGGAATTTGAAGATACACATGATGGTGTGGGTGAGGGTGGGGGTGAAGGTGAGGGTGAGGGTGAGGGTGATGGTGAAGGAAGAAATATAAGAGATCCTAGATACGTAGCTTCTCGTGGACGTCCAAGGTTGAATAGATATAGAGGGCGAATTGATTCATACTTTAGAAGTTCACAAACGGCTGGTGGAAGTGGAGTTAGAGGTAATAGGATGGGTAGAGGTGGTGGTAGAGGTGTTGGCAGAGGTGTTGGCAGAGGTGGTGGTAGAAGTGGTGGTGGAGGTGGTGGTAGATGCCGTGGTAGAGGCCGTGGTAGAGGTGGTGGAAATACTGGGCTAGCGGAAGGAATTGAGGTAAAGTATAACAAATTATTATTATATTTTTTTCCGAAAAATACATTGCTTATTAGTGTTATTTACTCTATACAGCAAGATGATGCAACAGTACAAGCACATAGTAGCTTGCCTGATCTTAACGATGAAGCAGACTGGGAGATAGAAGACTTGACCGTTTAGTTTGAGATGATTTAAGTTTGAATCTTATTTAATTTGATTTGATATAGATCTTTTTGAATTTTTTGACGTTGTTTTGTAATAATTTAAACGTGTGATATGATAATTATCATTGTTAAATATTTCTTCATTTTATTGTTACTTCATTTTATCGGACTAAACTAACAAAATGTGATTAGAAGTGAAAGGCTTCATAACATTATAATCCGTTCAAACTAAGAACTAAAATACTCACATTTAGTTACTATGAAGCATTTATTATTCCCAACCGTTTTAGTAGTGTGTAGGTACAACATTATTTGTGTGACCTAATGTTAAATATAAAATTATGGATATTTTGTTACTCTATATACTTTCCCTTTTAAGCTTCAAGCTTAAGCATTAATGACATTTTGTTAAATACCATGCTTAGTGACTTCAAGCTGAAGCATTAAGCAGTCATTTTAACAAACACACATGGCATTATGAAAGATTCACATCACGAAACATAAGAAAATTAAAACTAGCCAACAAACATAATTGTCAAAACATGGCATGGCATGATTGTCAAAACACGCCATGTAACATAATTGTCAAAACATGGCATAGCAGGATTGTCAAAACACGCAATCAAACCATGCCATGTACCAGAATTTGTCCAAAAATGCAATTTACCAGAATTGTTTAAAAAACCACAATTGTACTAATATTTCAATACAAATTCAGCAACAGGTGATGCACACCTAAATTCAAAATTCTCAGTTGCTGATCTGAGAACTTCATCATCTACATTCGTCAATGCCTCGATTGTGATTTTCGCAAGAGCCGGAGACTTTGCCACAAGAAGCTTCAACAGTTGCATGTGAGGACTTATCCCTCGAAGCCTCCTAATCACAATTTTTCTGAGGTTGATGAATGTTGTTTCTACAAAACTTGCTTCCAAATCAATGTTATCACGTGCCATAGGTACACAACAAGATTCCACCTACGAAATAATTAAAAAAAAACACCAAATGATTTCAGCACCTAAGAAGTCACTATGGAATGAGAATAAGAATATAACCAAATGATTAAGTAATAGAGTAACCTTGATTTCCATATGTTCTAAACATGGGAAGCTTTTCATCAAAGACAAAGCACAGGCAACGTAATACAATTCACCTAGATAAAGACCAGAAAGGTAAAGATTTTTGACACAGCCAACACGAAAGGGGAGATTAGTCGGTACATCTCCTGCACCTGCAGCCATTAACTAGAAAGAACATCCCAAATAAAAATGATGGCACATAGACCACAATATAATCCATCTATGAAAAAGTACTAGACTGAAGTTATGAAGCACATTTACCTTGAGGCTATGGTTATCCAAATGGAGATGCTCCACCGCACATAAAGACTCAAGAACCCTAGTATAGTCAGGTATTGCTTCCAGGACTAAGCCTCCCCTAAAAGCAAGCGATACTTATGCTAGAAGAGGAACATTTCTTAAACTGATAGCCCATACTCTGCCTGTGAAGTCAAGGGACTTCAATTTGGGGCCATCAATAAAAATGACACCAGACTGATTATCTGAGATCAAAAGCACCAATTGCTCGAGCAACGGGCACTGAGAGATTAAGGTTCCAAACAATGTGTACTCGATTGTAACATTGTATAGCTTAAGGCAAAGTAACCTATCAAATCCTGTGTAGGCTGGTGGATGGTTTATTGAACAATCTTCAAGAGATAGGTGCCTCAAAAGCACACATTTGAAAAATAAAGCAGGCAATTTGTATGGTGATTTCCTATACGGAAATTTAATATTGAGATGTTCAATACCATTTTCAATGAGAAACCCTAACAACTGTATAAAATAAGAAAATTCCTCCCAATACGGAATTAAGAGGGTAAAGTGTTTAACAAGTCCTCGATGATGGTTCAAAATTTGGCGGATTATATTTTCAAAGTAAGCAGGTTGGTGCATTTTCCAAAGGGTTCGATCAAGAGTTAGTTGTGGAATTCTACACCATGTATATCTCCATTTCCTTGATAAGATTCTTGTTCTAACAGCATCTGGTAAAGGCATCCGTATAAGAATATGATCAATAACATCATCAGGAAGGTTGCCTAGTATATCCAAAGGTAAAGTTCTAATGCAATTTTTTCTTCCGACCGGAGCCATCATATTAGGCTTAGGATTATAGGCAAAACGATGAAGATTAGGATAAACGAAAGTTAAGATTACGATTATGGAAAAAGAAGAAGAGGAAAAAGCAAGAAACCTCTTGAAATTTTGAAGATGGAGTGCCAAAAGACCATGGGCGGATCAACTCCAAAAGCAAAATTTTGGGGGTATCGATTAAACAATCCCAAGGTAGATATGTATACAGCCCTAATTTAAAATTCCAATGTATATAAATGAACGTCTAAAACGCATCAAAGTTATAATCGGTTTGTTGGTTAAGTAAGCGTATGTATGAGGCAGGCGTCTCGAGATCGAATCTCACCTTTAACAGGGTGCATTCTAATTTTTTCCAATCAAGCCAATCATTTTTTTTTAAAAAAAAGGTTAAACCAGTAGTTACATTTTTTATCTACTTTATTTACATTTTGAAAAAACAAAAGGTTAATCCATTATTTACATTTTTTCCAATCAAGCCAATCATATTTTTTTTTAAAAAAAGGTTAAACCAGTAATTTCACTAATATGATTGTAGGAAGGTAATTATATCGTTGTGGTTCGTAGAAATGTCGACCGTTTATATAATAGCCGTTTATATTAAGGTCATACGTACCGGCCTATAGCAACCATATAAGTCATTACACTAATATGATTACCTAAGGTAATTATATCGTTGTGCTTTGTAGTAATGTCGACCGTTTATATAATAGCCGTTTATATTAAGGTCATACGTATCGGCCTATAGCAACCATATAAGTCCATTCACTAATATGATTGTAGTAAGGTAATTATATCATTGTGGTTCGTAGTAATGTCGATCGTTTATATAATAGCCGTTTATATTAAGGTCATACGTATCGGCCTATAGCAAACATATAAGTCCATACACTAATATGATTACCTAAGGTAATTATATCGTTGCGGTTCGTAGTAATGTCGATCGTTTATATAATAGCCGTTTATATTAAGGTCATACGTATCGGCCTATAGCAACCATATAATTTACACTAATATGATTGTAGTAAGGTAATTATATCGTTGTAGTTCGTAGTAATGTCGACCGTTTACATAATAGCCGTTTATAGTAAGGTCATACGTACCGGCCTATAGCAACCATATAAGTCATTACACTAATATGGTTGTAGTAAGGTAATTATATCGTTGTGGTTCGTAGTAATGTCAACCGTTTATATTAAGGTCATACGTATCGGCCTATAGCAACCATAGAAGTCATTACACTAATATGGTTGTAGTAAGGTAATTATATCGTTGTGGTTCGTAGTAATGTCGACCGTTTATATAATAGCCGTTTATATTAAGGTCATACGTATCGGCCTATAGCAACCATATAAGTCATTACACTAATATGATTGTAGTAAGGTAATTATATCGTTGTGGTTCGTAGTAACGTCGACCGTTTATATAATAGCCGTTTATATTAAGGTCATACGTATCGGCCTATAGCAACGATATAAGTCCATTCACTAATATGATTGTAGTAAGGTAATTATATCGTTGTGGTTCGTAGTAATATCGACCGTTTATATTAAGATCATACGTATCGGCCTATAGCAACTATATAAGTCATTACACTAATATGATTGTAGTAAGGTAATTATATCGTTGTGGTTCGTAGTAATCTCGACCGTTTATATAATAGCCGTTTATATTAAGGTCATACGTATCGGCCTATAGCAACCATATAAGTCCATTCACTAATATGATTACCTAAGGTAATTATATCGTTGTGGTTCATAGAAATGTCGACCGTTTATATAATAGCCGTTTATATTAAGGTCATACGTATCGGCCTATAGCAAACATATAAGTCATTACACTAATATGATTGTAGTAAGGTAATTATATCGTTGTAGTTCATAGTAATGTCGACAGTTTATATAATAGCCGTTTATAGTAAGGTCATACGTATCGGCCTATAGCAACCATATAAGTCCATTCACTAATATGATTGTAGTAAGGTAATTATATCGTTGTGGTTCGTAGTAATGTCGACCGTTTATATAATAGCCGTTTATAATAAGGTCATATGTATCGGCCTATAGCAACCATATAGGTCATTACACTAATATGATTGTAGTAAGGTAATTATATCGTTGTAGTTCGTAGTAATGTCGACCGTTTATATAATAGCCGTTTATATTAAGGTCATACGTATCGGCCTATAGCAACCATAGAGGTTACCCACTAATATGATTGTAGTAAGGTAACTATATCGTTGTGGTTCGTAGTAATGTCGACCGTTTATATTAAGGTCATACGTATCGGCCTATAGCAACCATATAAGTCCATTCACTAATATGATTGTAGTAAGGTAATTATATCGTTGTGGTTCGTAGTAATGTCGACCGTTTATATAATAGCCGTTTATATTAAGGTCATACGTATCG